TCTTAATTTTATGATGGTACATGCACACAATTAATACTTAAGAGAAATACAGTCGCCAAGTTAATGTCCATTCAAATAATGGACTCAACTCCCTCCCTCTCTCACACTACAGTCGCTGGCTCTTCAGTCTCAGAGAAATTTTTGGGGGAAAACCACTAAATTTTAATAAATAATACCTCAAACTAAAGTTAGGATAATACAATTGACATTGCTGGATTCCTTGTAAGACCAGGAATATTTTGAATATAAATGTCATATATTTTGCACAAAAGATAACATAGTTACCTAGAGAAAAATTTTTATCTAAAATTTGTATGTTTAATGAAAAATATATGATGTTTATATTCAAAATGATCACCAAATTATAAGAATTCCAGCAATGTAAATTATATTCTGACCGGGTAATTTGTATGAATTTTATGAGCTAAAACAAATATCTTCAGTTAATAAAAAAAAAAATAATCTTCACAACACTATCTGTCAATCAAAGTACCCCACCTTGCCTCCCCCCCTCTTCCAACCGCATGGTCAGTCCCAACCCTCCCCCCACCCCCCACCAATCCTCCCTTCCAGGGTTTTTAACATTTAGTATTAAATAATACCTCAGATTAAAGTTAGGATAATATAATTGACATTGCTGGATTCCTTGTAAGACCAGGAATATTTTGAATATAAATGTCATATATTTTGCACAAAAGATAACATAGTTAATTTGAGAAAAATTTTTATCTAAAATTTGTATGTCTAATGCAAAAATATGATGTTTATATTCAAAATGATCACCAAATTATAAGAATTCCAGCAATGTAAATTATATTCTGACCGGGTAATTTGTATGAATTTTATGAGCTAAAACAAATATCTTCAGTTAATAAAAAAAAAAATAATCTTCACAACACTCTCTGTCAATCAAAGTACCCCACCTTGCCTCCCCCCCTCTTCCAACCACGCGGTCAGTCCCAACCCTCCCCCCCACCCCCCACCAATCCTCCCTTCCATGGTTTTTAACATTTAGTATTAAATAATACCTCAGATTGAAGTTAGGATAATATAATTGACATTGCTGGATTCCTTGTAAGACCAGGAATATTTTGAATATAAATGTCATATATTTTGCACAAAAGATAACATAGTTAATTTGAGAACAATTTTTATCTAAAATTTGTATGTCTAATGCAAAAATATGATGTTTATATTCAAAATGATCATCAAATTATAAGAATTCCAGCAATGTAAATTATATTCAGACCGGGTAATTTGTATGAATTTTATGAGCTAAAACAAATATCTTCAGTTAATAAAAAAATAATAATAATTCTTCACGGGGTAACAGATGGTCGGTCGGTCCCTCCCTCCCCCCCACCCCCCACCAACCGTCCCAAGGAGATGTGTGGGATAACCACTAAATTTTAATAAATAATACCTCAAACTAAAGTTAGGATAATATAATTGACATTGCTGGATTCCTTGTAAGACCAGGAATATTTTGAATATAAATGTCATATATTTTGCACAAAAGATAACATAGTTACCCAGAGAAAAATTTTTATCTAAAATTTGTATGTCTAATGCAAAAATATGATGTTTATATTCAAAATGATCACCAAATTATAAGAATTCCAGCAATGTAAATTATATTCTGGCCGGGTAATTTGTATGAATTTTATGAGCTAAAACAGGCAGTCAGGCAGGGTGGGGCAAATCTAAAAATAGCGTCTCGAGCCGGACACTCACCTCGTATATGTGGAAAAAATCCGTGTTAAGTGAAAGTTCAGCTCTGGCGAGCACCGTATATGATAAAAGCGCGTTAAGTGAAACCGCTTAGAGATAATAATATATATATATATATATATATATATATATATATATATATATATATATATATATATATATATATATATATATATATATATATATATATATATATATATATATATATATATATATATATATATATATATATATATATATATATATATATATATATATATATATATATATATATATATATATATATATATATATATATATATATATATATATATATATATATATATATATATATATATATATATATATATATATATATATATATATATATATATATATATATATATATATATATATATATATATATATATATATATATATATATATATATACATACATACATACATACACAGTCTTGCGCCGGTTAACGTCCTAGATACGTTCTTGGAACGTGACGTTAACCGAAATGGACATTGTCCGATAATCACATAAACTTTGTATTTATACTTACGTGTATGTGGAATATTATATACGTACATATACACTTTTACTCTTAAATCACTACTGTAATGTGATATAGGTGATTAATTTTTATCTCTTGTGCTAAAACATGACATTTATATTAAAATTATTCACTGTTTTACAAGGATTCCCGCAACGCTGGGCAAATGGGGGAGAGGGGAGTAGGGAGCGAAGGGGCGTGGGGGGAGGGGAGCGGTTTGACAGTTGGCACAGGCTCAGGTCTAATGCGTGTATATTTATCAGTTCTTAAGTGACTAAGCTTCTCTCTTATAAAAAGCCAGTGAAATGACCTGGGTGAATATAATTTACATTGCTGGGATTCTTGTAAGATGTTGATTAATTTAAATATAAACAACCTATAATTCGCACTAGACATAACAATTTTAGTACCGTAATCAAATTAGTACATGTGCACTCCAGCTTTGCACTAAGATCATTTATTTCTTTTACGTTTCTTTTAGTATGGTGTGTGCATGTAAATGGATGAAAATAAATGAAGAAATTTATGTAAATCTACCCAAAAATACAGTTGAAAAACTTATAAAACGTACTACAGTATTGTACACTGATGTACTACAACTTTTATCTCTTGAGCAAAATATATGATGTTTATATTCAAATTAATCTCTGTCTTGCAAGGATTTCAACAATGCAAATTATATTCTCCTACTGTCTGAGATATTATATGAAAACTTAAGGCCTAAAACCCCCCATGCGAGGGAGCGTGGGGGGGAGTGGAGCGGGAGGTGAGGCGATATGATTTGACAGTTGGCGCTGAAGGCCTGCGTGTTTATTTATCATTCCTTAAGAGTGACTAAGCTCTTCTCATAATTTACCACCCAAACGACCTGGGTGAATATAACTTACGTTGCTGGGATTCTTGTAAGATAGTGATTTATTAGAATACCTGTATAAACAAACTATATTTGCAATAGACATAACAATTTTAGTCCCATAATCATTTAGTACATGTACAGCACAGGTTTGTTCCATTGTTAACCGAGGGACCACTGTAGTGCAGTGTACTTGTACTGTACAATATTGACTAAATTCACTAGATAACGTACACAACTAATGGTTGGTAAAACTTGTCAAGTAAGTGAGTGTCAAGTCTGTCAGTATGAGTGGCATGTGTGAGTGCTTGTGTCCCCCATCATAGGAGTCCATTTTCTCTCGCTTCAGGACGCCTGAGTCCTCCGTTTTCTCTCAATCTTAGAGTGCACCAGAGACTTCGTTATTCCTTAGTAATGACACAGAATTAGTGTACATTTTATCATATAAAGTTTTTCAACTGTATTTTTGGGTAGATTTACATAAATCTCTTCATTTATTTTCATCCATTTACATGCACACACCATACTAAAAGAAACGCAAAAGAAATAAATGACCTTAGTGCAAAGCTGGAGTGTACATGTACTAATTTGATTACGGTACTAAAATTTTTATGTTTAGTGCAAATTATAGCATGTTTATATTCAAATTAATCAGTATCTTACAAAAATCCCAGCAATGTAAATTATATTCACCCAGGTCATTTCACTGGCTTTTTATAGGAGAGAAACTTAGTCACTTAAGAACTGATAAATATACACACGTTAGACCTGGGCCTGTACCAACTGTCAAACGTACTACCTCCCCTCCCCCCACGCCCCCTCGCTCACTCCCACCCTCTCCCCCATCTGCTCGGCGTTGCTGGAATCCTTGTAAAACAGTGAATAATTTTAATATAAACGTCATGTATTTTGCACAAGAGATAAAAATTAATCACCTGTATCGCATTACAGTAGTGATTTAAGAGTAAAAGTGTATATGTACGTATATAGCATTCCACATACATGTAAGTATAAATACAAAGTTTATGTGATGACCGGACAACGTCCATTTCGGTTAACGTCACATTTCCAAGAACGTGACTAGGACGTTAACCGTGTGGGGGGCAGGCAGGATGTCTTTGGGAACGTCCTCTTTTTTTAATGTTCAGATATGGCAAACCTAAAGAAAAGAAAATGGAGAGTTTCTGTGTTTTGGGGTAATTTTTTGGAATTATGCATTACAGGTACTCCTCGACTTACGACCAACTCGACTTAAGACCACCCGGACATGCGACCGCCGCAGTCATATAAAATATTTTTCACATTACGTATTTTCGAGTCCCATCGTTAGTGATTGCGCTGTGTACTGACCAAATTTTTGTTTGTAATTCCCTTTAAAATGGCTGGCAAGCGAAAAGTGAGTTTTCGTGGTGCTGAGAAGAAAAAGAGACACCCATTTTAGATTTTCTATGTATTATTTTCGCCTTTTCAACTTACGACCAATTCGACGACCTAGTCGTAGGTCCGGAACCCCGTCGTAAGTCGAGGAGAGACTGTATTTCATCCTTGGAATTTGCCCCTAGACCAGGAAAAAATGGAGAGAGTTTCTGAAAGTTTTTTTAATTTTCCAGAAAGTGCACCTGATATTCATCCTTGGATTTTGCTTCCAAACCACTTCATTTACATTGTTTGTGTTTTTCTTTTTCTGTTAAGACATAATAGTACAGTATTTCAAAATAACTTGCCTTAGATTATTACATTTGATGATATGAAGTGCAGTATGTAGGAGGGTAGTCAGTTTTACTTTTATAGGACTGTCCTATTACAAATTTAGTGTAACTTAGAATGCAGTAATTAAGATAAATAAATGCTGAGATTAATCAATTTTATCTACAGGTGATGCCTCTTGAGCTAAAAACTGGTAAGTCAAGCTTCTCTGCTGAACACCGTGGACAAGTTACACTGTACAGCATGATGAGTGCTGACAGAAGGCAAGATCCCAGGGCAGGATTACTTCTTTACCTTAAGTAAGTAATGAAGTACTGTATAGTAAAACTTCCATTTAATGGACAACAATATAACTGGTACTGTATAATCTATTATGTGGAGGTTGGACATTAATGGACCTTAATATAATGGACTGTACTGTCGCATATACTCTGTTATTGGAGACCTGTGGTGTAATGGTCAGCATGCTCGCCTCGCAAGCGAGTAGATCCAGGTTCGATCCCTAGTCAGGGTAAAACTATGGGAATTTTCTTTACACCATTTGCTTCTCTACCCAGTAGTAATTGGGGACCTGGATGTAAATTGATTTGCAGATTGTGTTCTGGGGTAATGGTTAGCCAGTGCAGTTGGCGAGTTGTCCAGTTTTCTTGTACTATTCCTTGATACTGGGTCATGCTACTCGTTAACTTAGGGTGTGGTTGTTGTGTTGGCGACAGCTTCTACACCTTAAACAAATTCACTCCTAGGTGGCTCTTGGGCCGGCTATCCTCAATCTCGAGGGGCATCCATTATTATTATTATATTGGGGTTTCATATATAATGGACTACATTCACCCATACACAGGTAAACCTCTATTTACCATCTCCCAATTTATGATATCACATTAATGATGCTGAATATTTAAGACCACTTCCTTATTTGCATTATAAAAAACTTGCAGAAACGATTTTTGTCATCCCGTCAACCCTCCAAGTCAGCATATGGAATACATCTCTCACTTCATTTGTCAGCTGAGGATCTATCTCCCCGAACACTGCCTAGTGGCTATTTGGTGAACTACAGTCCAGAATTCTTCTTGGTTGTGTGAGAAATGGAGCTCAGGGTTTATCGGTCATGATTCTTTTTTTTATGTGTGTATTTTTTTTTTTTACAGTGAAAGGACATCACTTAAGTTCACATTGTACTCTGTTTTAGTGACTGTGAAGTGCTTTTGCTTTGATCCCCCCACCCCAACAAAGGGTGACCTGACATTGAATCAGAAGGTCAGTAATATGAGACGATTAATTCCCCACCTCCACCGTAAATGAGAGAAGAGTTTATATACATTGGGTGGATCTGACATTGCATCAAGTCAGGTCAGTAACATGAGACCCACTAATCCCTTACCACATGTTCATCACAAGTTTTAAAGATGTAAAAAGTGATCACAGTTATGTATTACATTCAGGGGATTGGACAGTATACTCCAACTTTAGGCTGATGACAACAATAGTAATATGCATTTTGTTGTTTATTTATAATATATTTTACATGTACAGTGATGTTTGCTTAAATAAATACAGCTCTTGTGTCAGTCCTTGCAAGATACTTCATTTACACTCTGGGAAAAATGGTGGAAAATTTCACTGTGCCACACACAGCTCCATTCATGAGGCACCTCACATGACCATGTCATTTAGGTTTTTAGTTTTTTAAATATATATAAATTAAACCAGAGTTTTAGATAAATTGCTGTACAGGGGACCCCCCTAACTTCGCAGATAATTAAATTCGCAGTTCTTGGTTACTCATGGATGACACCTTGGATGTACCCAAGAATGTCTGTGGGTAGTTTTAAAATTGCCAACATTTTCTCGGCTGGGACAGGGAGCCATTCGTTCTAGAGACAGTAATTTCCTTTACCTGTATTGTAAATATGTGTATGTGTGTGTAGACACACTCAGAACACATACAAATAAATAATAATTGGAAAATCCTCTCACAATTAATCAGAAACAAATTTATTAAAAATGTGACAGTCTACCCTCAAGTTCGTGCTCTATTACATATACAGCGGTCCCTCGGTTAACGAACGGTACGATTAAAAAAATTTCGGTTATTGAATTACCTCCCATAAGGATCTTCAATTCGGTTAACGAACGAAACTTCGATTAACGAAATCCTTACGACAAACACATTTTATTGTGAGCATCAGCTGATTAGCTGATGAGCTAGTCTGCCAATTCAGTAATTTGTTCCATGTTTACACTTGTTTCCAGTGGAGTAAATATCAAGAAAGTTGTGCTCTTTAATATTTTTGCATTTTTTATATTAAAATTATAAGTAATTTTAAAATTTAGTTAACATATTGATAATTAATATATGCAGTACAGGGAACTCACCCACCAGGCGTTAGTTTGGCTTTGTTGACAGTGGAGTGAACATCAATTTTGTTGGTGCCTTGAATATTTTTGCATTTTTACATTAAAATTATTGGTCATTCTGAAATTTAGTTAACATATTGATAATATATAGTTCAGTGCAGTGTTGCTTTAAATAAAACAATCTTGAATTTCACCTAGTGAACTTAAAATTTTATTGGTGAAATTACTGCATCAAGCATGGGTCCCCTGAAAGGTGATTTGTCCTTCATCCCCACTTCCTTCTCTTCTCCCTTCTCCTCCACCCCCCACTTCCAATTCCCATCATCATCATCAACCAGAACCTTCTACATACACACCTCAAAGTAAGTGTACTTTACTGCATTTTTTTTTTTACTTTGTGTGTACTTTTCTGTGAGCTGGAACCAATTTCCCAATATCCCATTGAAACAATGGATTCGGTTAACGAATGACTCTGGAACGAATTGTTTTCGCTAACCGAGGGACCACTGTATACACACATACAGTACAGTATATACAATACTACAGGTAAAAGAAATAATTGTCCCAAGGGCACACACATAAAGGGAATATACATTTCTTTGTACAAAAGTAAAAATGTAACCCCCCCCCCCCCCCCACCGGCCGGGAAATCTTATTAGCCGATTTGCGGCCATTTTGAGAACCTAACCCCCGCGAATTTGAGGGGTCCCCTGTACCTGTATCCTTCATATACAATACTGCATATGTCTCATAGGTAAAAAATAATGTTGTCAGGAAAGATCTCCTCATATGCAATGGTACCATTTTCATTTCTCTATCACTATTAAAGTAGATGTTGTGAATAAAAGTTTATCACTTATTTTCTACTTAGATTTTGCCTTTTTCAAGACATCTTCAGGTCATGAGACCCACTAATCCCCCACCCTGACACTGGGTGACCTGACATTGCATGAGACTAATAATCCTCCACTCCACCTCCACCTGACATTGATCAGGTCAAGTCAGTAACATGAGAACCTCCCTTGCAACATTTCTTATGTTTTTCATAAAAAATTACTCCCCATCATTATAATCGTATTTTTTGTAACTGAGGTGAGTAGTGTAATTTTGAAAATGTCTGGCAAGCATTTTGCTCACCATCTTCAAGACTAAGACGAGGCTACACCTCCAGTCCCCATTCTTCAGACTCCCTGAAGTCTGTGTGGGACTCAGGTTGATGTCTTCATTCCATCTTAAGAGTCCCCTTAGCCTCGAAGGGGACAAGTGATGATGACAGTCTTGTTCTTAATAATGTGGTGAGTGTTTTTTAATTGTGTTGTAGTGCTACTAGTATTCTAGGATTTTTTTATTTTATTTTTTTATATCCATATAGGAGTCTTACTGGACAGGATCCTATCTCATTGACACCCCTGTTATAATGAACCTGATTTATGATATTTCAACCTGTGATGTGGTTTTCAGGAACCTAACAGCAATGCAAGTAGAGGTTTATCTCTAATCTGTAAATACACTCAGGCAACTAAAATAATAATAAGCGGTTTATTAATAGAGTTGCAGCCGGTGGCTGATAATATACAAACTTACATTTGATTTAGACAAAATGATATGCGTTGAATACATTTACAGGGCTGTACAGTACATAAATCAGGAGTTGTTTATTACAGTTGTACCCCGCTTAACGCGGTCAATTGAACCCACAGGGTACCGCGTTAAGTGAACAACAGAACATATGGAATTAATTCCAATAGAGACTGGCTCGACCCCCAAACTCCACTTTTTGACAACACACAACTATGTTCTAGTAAAAATAACATCTTAATTTTATGATGGTACATGCACACAATTAATACTTAAGAGAAATAGAGAAATACAGTCGCCAAGTTAATGTCCATTCAAATAATGGACTCGACTCCCTCCCCCTCTTCTCACACTACACGGCTGGCTCTTCCCTCTCTGAGAAATTTTTGGGGGAAAACCACTAGATTTTAACAAATAATACCTCAAACTAAAGTTAGGATAATATAATTGACATTGCTGGATTCCTTGTAAGACCAGGAATATTTTGAATATAAATGTCATATATTTTGCACAAAAGATAACATATTTACTCAGAGTAAACATTATATCTAAAATTTGTATGTCTAATGCAAAATCTATGATGTTTATATTCAAAATGATCATCATATTGTAAGAATTCCAGCAATGTAAATTATATTCTGGCCAGGTAATTTGTATGAATTTTATGAGCTAAATAAAAAAAAAATATTATACTTCACCGCGTATATGAGTAGATGAACCGCGTTAAGTGAAAGTTCGGTTCTGGCGAGGCACCGCGTATATGAGGAATCGCGTTTAGTGAAACCGCGTTAAGCGGGGTACAACTGTATTTTAACAATAGATGGGATGGTGCTATTCTTATATCTATCAGTGCGGGCTCTTATGGGCTGAATTTTGTTGTATTGGCGGACTGTGGGAGATGGGCGGGGGACTGCCGGTGGCAGGAGGTGGCGATGACGAGGATGGTGCAGTAGTCCACTGCCAAACGTTGCTAATGCTTGGTGGTGGAGGTCACTGAGGGATGGCATTTCCAGGGTGGAGAGAGTGTTGTTGTACCAGGAGTAGTCTGCGCCGAGCATGATTCTGCAGGCCCTTTTCTGTACCTTTTCTAGCTGACGTTGTTGGGTAGAGTTGAGAGAAGACGACCAGGCTGGTGACGCATATGTTAGTTTGGGGAGAATAAAGTCGTTGTAGATAGTCCTCAGCTCTGGCGTGGGTGTCCCAACTGATATAAGTCGTTGCAGCATGTAGAGTCGGTACGAGGCTGCCTTGATTGTGTTGTTTATATGGGCCTTCCAGCCCAGTTTGTGGTCTATGGTAACACCCAGGAGTTTGGCAGACTGCACTAACTGGAGAGGATGGGCACCCACTGTGACTG